CTCTGAGCCTACAAAATATACAGATTCCCTGGACTCCGCCCTCATAGTTTCTGAGTGCATGGGCCCCAGGGGTGGGGTCTAGAAATCTGTATTTATAAAAAGTTTTCCATGCGGTTTTGATGATTAACCAAGTTTGTGGAATAGTTGGTTTGATGTTCATTGTATTTTTTTCTTTTCTGCCTGAAGTTGCTTGAGTTCAGAAATAGAAAAACAAATGGACGACACTCAGAGATAAGAATTAGGAGATGCAGAAATCAAGGGACAGAAAGTTTAAGTGACTTGCAAAGTCGGCATAGCTGATTAGTGTTTAAACCAACAAGCATGTATCAAACATACAGTCTGGGGGCACCTGGGTGGCTCCGTCGGTTAAACGTCTGACTTCGGCTCAGGTCATGATCTCACGGTTTGGGAGTTGGAGCCCCGCGTCGGGCTCTGTGCTGACAGCTCAGAGCCTGGAGCCTGCTTTGGATTCTGTGTCTCCCTCTCTCTGTGCCCCTCCCCCACTTGCTCTCTCTCTCTCTCTCTCTCTCTCTCTCAAAAATAGTGAATAAACATTAAAAAAATTTAAAAAAACCATACAATCTGTGCAAGGCATACTGCACAGTCTGGTGGAAATAAAAGGAAACATAAGATGTCATCTCTGTCTTTGGGACCTAAACACAGGACACGCACGCAAAAGCAGGCTGTGTGTGAGGCGACAGGGAGTGGTGGGGACTGCAGCAAGCTAAAGGCTATGTGCAAATACAGTGAGCACTTGCTACTCAGCTCCAGCTTCTCGGTGCATATAAGGGTGTGGGCCTAGAGTGGCCAGATATTCTGGTTTTTTTAAAGGAGCCAGAAAGTCCACATTTCCTGGCTTTTAAATATAGCAACTCATTCAATTCAAAAAAAAAAAAAAAAAAAAAAAAAAAAAAAAAAAAAAAAGCCAGAAAGAAAACCGCACTGTTAGGGGCCAAACGAGATTCATCTGTAGGCTGACTCCTGCCCATGGAATGACACTTTGCAGACTCTTTCCTAAAAGGTTATCCAATCCAACCTCCCTTGAACTTGAGTCCTCTCTAGAGCCCTACAAAGGCAAAGAGGGTAAGGGATCCCATCTAGCAGGTGGTTAAGTGAGTGCTTGGTGTGTGTGTGTGTGTGTGTGTGTGTGTGTGCACGTGCGTGTGCACAAGGGTGGGGTTTCTGGCCTCCCTGCCTTCCCTACTAAAAATGCATTCCAGGTGCAGAGGCAGGGTGTGGCCACAGCAGCGCACTCAGAGATGCCCTGGGACGGGCCAAGATCTTCAGGCCAGTAGGGTCTGGTGGGTTGAAGAGTTTGGCTGGGAGGGGCTACAGAACGGAAAGTAAAAGAAGGAAAACTCTGGAGAAAGCTAGAGAGCACACTGTCTTGAAAAGGAACATAGGAAAGGAAAGGCGAGGAAGAAGCATCGGTTCTAAACATCCCATAACCCAGAAGGCAACATCCCCAGATCCCCCAGCCAGACATCAGAATGAGCCCTCTGGCCACTCTCCATCTGCTTGCTCCGCTGAGTTTCTCTTCACAATACTCACCACTACCTGACCTTTTGTATTATATATGACTTTGCTTATGTGCATTTCCGGATGCCCCCCACTATGCTATACAGCTCCAAGAGAAGGGGCTTTGTTTATGGTTCAGTTCCTAGTGCCTGGCACATAGTAGTTGCTTAGCAAATATCTGCTCAACAAATGGACTGCAGCCAAGCCCTTGGCACCGAAACAGTTTAACTTTTAAGTGTCAACCACATAATAACAACAACCTCGGCACAAAGCACTTTATCATTTACAAAACCTGTCCTTTAACTTAATTCCTCCAATTTTCTTTTACCAAACTGCGTCGTGTGTTTGGCCATGGCCCAGAGAACGTGGCCTCTGCAAGGTGGATTGCCTGAGAGCCAGCTCGGACAGAACCACCTGCACAGAGCAGCTAGGCCAGCCCTCTCCCCCACCGGGGGCTGGGAGACGAGGCGGCTGCAGAAGTGCGGGGCTCAGCAATAATGGGGCCATGTCATCAAAATGATCGAGTGTTCCGGGGCCAGGTTCATCCGGCCTCCCCAGCCCGAAAGTGTGCTGATTAGAAGTGTGTAAGGAAGAGAGCTGGTCGGGGGCAACACAGCTCCGGCTCTAACGTCAGACTGCTGGGGCTAATTTCCCAGCTGCATGCATGACCTTGGACCTCACTGAGTCTCGCCAACCTCATCCATATTTCGGGCATAAACCGCAAAAGTAACAGTAATTACTTCAAAGGGTTCTTGTGCAGGTTTGATGAGATACTTCGCAAAAAGCGCCCAGAACTGTGCCTGGTGCACGTCTCAGTGCAACCGGGACGGTGCCCTGTCAGCAGCAGTGTCACTACCACGTAACCATGTGACCCTGAATGACTTGACCTCCCCCCACCCCCACCTCCCGCACCTCAAATTCCTCTTCTTTAACCCGGTGGTCGGGATGGGGTAAGGAGGAATAAACAAGATCGTGTATGTTCAGCACTTAGCACAGGGCCTGGTGCATCTTAAATGCTTAATAATGGTGAGCTAGTATCTTATTATTAGCCAAGAAACTTCTACCAGTCTAAAATGCCAATGTGAGAATCCACCAAAGACAGTTTGCCATATGCAAATAAATCTGCGGGACCAAAGGTTCTCCAGCTGCGACTTTCTCTTCCCCACCTGCTTTGTTCTCTAGTTGCTCTAAGAATGGCCCTCCCCCAACCTTCGGTCTGACCTAGGAAGCGTTTGGAGGTCAGTTCCCAGTGCAGGGCTGACCTCGCTCCGCGCCAGCTCAGTCTGCTCTGTTCCATCTGCCTCTTCGCCCCCACGATGCTGCAGTCTGACAGCGGGGGAGGGGACATGCAAATATGCCCTAAAAACGGCTTGTTATTTTCACGGCCGGGGTGGTGCGCGTTTGTGGATGCCTGTGATGCCTGTGAAGACCGCACGTCACTGTCAGGTACGGGGCATATGCCACCAATCTGGGGGAGGCTGTGAAATGTAAAAATACCCAACCCAAATAAAGCCCTTTTCCAAAGGAAAAGGAAAAGTTCCTCCAGCGCCCTTTGCAGAAAGGGAAGGGGCGGTAACTCGGCCTTGGGGCAAATCCCCGCTGGGCCAGCCCCTGAACCAAGCCACCTGGCTCTTCATTGGTCCCCCGGCCTCAGCGCCCCAGTGAAACGGCTCAGCTGCTGGTTTTAAATGGCACTTATACTGTGGAACGACCCAGAAACGGATGCTTTCAAGTTATGAGACTGGGAAAGTGAATAGCAAAAGACCAAAGACAAGGGCCCCCCATAAAGAAAACAGAACCTAAATAAGCCAGGAAGTGCTATTAACAGCACTGCTGATTTACAAAATCGACTCAGAAGAATATAATTACCGTCAACTTTCATCTGGTACTTAACAGTGTTTAATGGGCACCTACAATGCACCAAATGCAGGTGTCTCCGGTGCAAATGTCTACGGGGGGGGGGG